CTTTGTTGTTTGGTGCTTTCTAGAGTAGAAAGACGCTCAGACAGGTTTATTACGTGGCTGTTAAGTTTAGCGATCGTCGCTAGGGCTTTTTTAAGTTGTACTTGGAGTGTGTCACGTTCCTTGCGGACCGTATTGTAGGAGTTTATGGAGAAATAGGGGGAGGACTTTAGGGATGATTTGCCAGAGGCGCTTACCGTCTTCAGGTTTTTTGGCGAGTCCATCCTGGAACACTTGGGGCTTTCCGGAGCCCTAACTAAAAAGGGGACCTGCACGCGGCTCTTAGGGAGCGTTGTGCTCGAATTTCTTTAGTGAAATTAATAAATTTCTGCGGGGCACAAGACTGGAGCGTGTTCGGTTGTTGTGGTTGTTACTGACGTTGTAACTGACTAAGCACAGGATTTTGTTCGACCGAATGGTTCGGCTGTTCGGTGAGCACTGCTGATCCATTTCGCCGGGTTCCGGCGGTATTTATACCCACGGGGTTGGTACTTCCGCTTTGGGGGTGGAGCTTGTGATCGGTCTTTTTGGCCTGAACTCCCGCTGCGCCCTCGGTTGGAAATGGTGACGTCACGAGGGGGTGGAGCCTGTTGAGGGCTCTGCACAAGACCCCCCCATCCAGAAGGGATGTAACGTAAAAAAGGGGCGAACTCACCCTTTTTTGGGTTCATTCCACGGAGCACGACAGGGTTGGGGACCCGAGGTATCGAGGTTGGGAACCCGATACCTTCGGGCGCCCGAGGTATCCCCACAGATTCTTGGTTTGCGTTGGTCGCTTCAACTCGCTGGGCTAGGCTCTCCAATTCCTCGATGGCCTGCTTCCTCTCCGCACGTAGTCGGAGAATTTTTCTGGTATCAACGGTATCGAGCTTCAGCATATGCTTGGTAAGCTCTTCGACCGTTTTTGCGGCGAATTGGAGGTTCGGGGCGAGGCTGAGTTAGCCGAGTACTGGTTCTTTGGTCCTTCCTTGTGCTCGGATGGCGTGGATCTGGGCCAACGCCGTGTTCTCTTCCTCGGTCAGTACAGAGGAGGGTCCCGGTGTAGGGGACTCCGGTCGCGGGGGTGACGAAGGCATTGGTTCTTCGGAGGGTTCGCTCGTCCGGCGAAAATCCTCTCCAAATTCGAATTCTTCTTCTGATTCGCTCTCAGACGCATAATCGATATCGTCATCCGGAATCGGTTCGGGATTACCCGGTGGGGCCGGTCGGAGATCATCTACGTGGACGTTCCACTGGCGCCCATTAATTAGCACTTTATAGGTTGATTGGCCGGTGGCGGTTATTATATCCCAGGGGCCGGTCCATTTTGGGCCAAACGCTCCTGGCTGGCGGTTCTTGGTCATCACCTTGTCGCTGGGCGCAAAGCTCACGGGAGGGCGTACATCGGAGCTGTACTCCTTCTGGAACACTAGTTGTCGCTCAAAAACCTCCCGGTTGTGGTTCTTCCGCTGCTGAGGGGTGAGGGTTCGCCGGTACTTGGCGTACTGGGTGCTCCAGTCTCCTGGACATGGCAGTTCGTAGCCTAGGACAATGGAGGCAGGTGTTTCACCGGTTGCCCGGTTTTTTCGGGAACGCAGCACCTTGAGGGCACTGCTTAGGTACTTCCCCCATTGGTTCTCCGGCTTGCCGGTCAGGAGGATCCTGAGAACCTTCTTAAGTTCCTGGGCGCGCCTCTCACTGGTTTTCGCCCGCTGGTGGTAGACACTTGTCGTCCGGTGTTGGATTTGTCGTTCCCGGCATAGCCTCTGGAAGGCGTTACTGGTGAAGGGAGTGCCGTTGTCACTGATTATGACCCTGGGGGCCCCATACCTCGAAAACATTTCTTCCTCGAGGTATGTGGCTATGTCCCGACCGTGAATTTCGGGGAACGCCTTGGCCTCCAGCCATCTGCTGAACACGTCCTCTACTTGAAGCACGTAGGTGTTCTTTTGAGGACCCCACTCTCGGGGTAAGGTCCGAGGATGTCCAGGGCCAGCATCTCGAACGGATATCTGGACGATCTGGCTGTCATGGGAGCGGCGTTCTGCCGCTGTTGAGCCTTGGCGGTCGCACAGATGAGGCATTGGTGGGTGTAACGCTGGATTTCCAGATGCATATGGCCCCAGAAATACCGCTCCTGAATCTTCCGGAGCGTCTCCTTGTAGCCGGGGTGCGCCTGCTCGGGAGAGTCGTGGAAATAGGCCAGCACCTTGGGCACTAGTTGCCGGGGAACGACCAGCCTGTCTCCCTCTGGGTGGCGCCTCCAGAGAAGGTTGTCATACGTAGTAAATCTCCGCGTCAGCTTTTGCTGGGCGGCTGTTAGCTCCTGCCGTCCCTCCAGCTATTGTAGCATGACTTTAGTTCGGCGGATGTGTCGAACTTTGGCCTGTCCCGCGACTATTGACTTGAACAGGTCGCTGGCGGCGATGGTCGCTACCGACGGCTTCGTTTCCGTCTCCTGGGAATCGGGGGGAATTAGTCTGTCGTTGTTGGGTTCGGCCTCGTACTCGGCCTCGGCCTCGGCCTCGTTGGGGTGTCTTGACAGAAGGTCGGGGAGCTCGTTGTGCTTTCCGGGGACGTGTTCCAGGGTGAACGAGTATTCCTGGAGCATCAGGGCCCAACGGGTGAGTTTCGCCCGGGTGTCCTTAAATTTCCCCAACCAGGTCAGCGCCTTGCTGTCGGTCCTCACGAGGAAAGGTCGATCCTCCAGGTAGCCGCGGTAGAGCTGGATTTCCCAGATCAGAGCGAGGCACTCTTGCTCGTTTACATGCCCATATACGGGTCTCGGCAGGTTTGAACTTGGCGCTCGCAAAAGATATGATCAGGCGCTTTTCACCATCCAATTGGTACAGGACCGCGGACATGCCTATCGATGATGCGTCGGTCTGCAACACGAATTCTTTGGTGAAATCTGGTCGACTTAACGGCTGGGCGACCGCTACTGCTTTCTTTGTCAGTTCAAACGCCTCTTCTGCCTCTGGGGGTCCATCTAAACTTCTTCGCCCCTCCCTTCAATAGGTCCGTCAAGGGTGCGGAGACGGTGGAGAGATGGGGCACGTGTTCCCGCATCCAATTACAGGTTCCCAAGAATCCTTGGAGCTGCTTGAGCGTCCTGGGTCTGGGAAAGTCATGGATTTGGAGCAGGTGTTTTTGTTGGACCTCGACGGTGGATCCATTTATGTGGTAACCAAGGTAGTCTAGGTTATCTGTGGCCAGCTGGCACTTTCCTGCAGAGACCTTTAGGTTGTGGAGCCGGAGTCGTTCGAAGACCACTCTGAGGTGTACCAGGTGTTCTTCCAGCGTGTCGCTATGGACTATGATGTCGTCTAAATAGACGAGCACGCTTGATCCGATCAGGCCCACCAGGACCTCCGACGTCATGAGCTTCTGGAACGTAGATGGGGCGTTCTTTAAGCCGAAAGGCATCACGACGAATTGGTAACTGGCGCCATCAGGGGTCGAGAAGGCGGTGTAGGCCTTGCTGGATTCCTCCAGCGGCACCTGCCAGTAACC